AAATCTGTACACGTCGGCTTCATCGGACATGGGCTTGAGGTAGCTCAGATTGAGGCTGGGCTTGCAACGCGATCTCCGAGAAAATTATCCATCATCGATAAGAACCAGCCTGGCCACAAGAGCAACTTCACACTGGCTGCCGAAAGCTTTTGCCATGCAGGAGCTCATGTCTCCATCACTCCCGCCGATCGCATTGTTAGCCGTCTTGTCAGTCTATTTACCCCATCATTTGCGGTGTATTAAGGCCAAACCTGTGCAAACTTTTATCCTCCGCTGCCGATTTTCCGTGGTTAAAGGTTTTCCCGGGCTAGAGGCTCCATCTGACGTCTTAGTTTGAGGAATCGGGACCAATCCCGTTCTAGATATTTCACCCTTTTATGGATCTGAGTTATTTCCGTCCAATGCCCTTTTCCTACGTCACGGACGCGTGAATACAGAGAATGAATATTCGTAGAGTTTTTGAACAGCGCATGGTGGCAGGTTGGCTGTTGTTCCTCTTACTCACACTAGATACCAAACTTGAATCATTCCTGGTTTGGCATCAAATTATCATGATAGATACTATTCCAGCTTGTTCTCAAGATAGCCCTTAATTGGTCATCAAGTAATGTAAAGTAGAATCGCTTGTTTTGGAATCATGTCGGTGACTATTAGCTCCTCCAACGTGGAAACGTTGCGGATTCCAACTCCACACGAACCGTAAATCCCTCCGAGCTCTCCGCCTCGTAGTTCCATGTTCGAATCACTTACCGCCCCGGAAGGTAGCGTTCTTTGTAACGTAGATGATGGACAAGTCTTTACTCGTACACCCACATACCCACATTGACTGGAGCCTGGGGCAAAACTTGGGGCCCCAGCCTCATCATCTCCATCCCATATCTGTCGTCCTGTCGCACCGGTTTCATCTCACCAATTCATCTTGGCTCTTACCTTTCTCAACTTGTTCTCCCTCTTTGTCTTATCCTTCACCTACCAGTCATGGGTCTTCTCACGCTTGTCGAAGACCGACCAACGCCCCCGGTTGTATACAACTGGCGGGTTTATGTCCTCGCCCTCGTGGCATCATGCGGATCCAACATGATTGGTTACACCAGTGCCTTCATCGGTACCACAATCACACTCGATTCCTTTCAGAAGGAGTTTGGCATTGATCAAAAGACTACCGAGCAACGCAACCTGATCAGCGAAAACATTGTCTCGCTTTTCATCGCTGGTGCCTTCTTCGGCGCCCTTCTTACCTACATTCTTAGCCATTGGATCGGTCGCAAGCGGTGTCTAGCCATTGCGTCAGCCACCTTCACTCTGGGAGCTGGACTTCAATGCGGTGCCGACGGAGGCCGTGGCCTTGGTATCTTATATGCAGGACGTGTGTTGTCGGGCCTGGGCACCGGTATTGCCTCGAACATTATCCCCATTTACCTTTCCGAGCTTGCGCCACCAGCTATCAGAGGACGGCTCGTAGGTCTGTACGAGCTTGGGTGGCAGATTGGTGGCTTGGTAGGCTTCTGGATCAACGTGAGTCAAGCAGCCTTTCCCTTTGTTCATTCATTGGAGGCTAATCGTTGCATCATGTCTAGTTCGGCGTCGAAAAACACCTCCCCGAAAGCAATAAACAATGGATTATTCCTTTTGCTATCCAGATAATTCCGTCGGGATTACTCTTTGTTGGATCCGTCTGGATCCGAGAATCTCCTCGTTGGCTTTTCCTCCATGACTTCCGCAAGCAAGCCATGGACAACCTGTGCTGGATCAGACAACTATCTCCTACCGATATTTACATCACCGAGGAGGTGGCAGCCATAGACCAGGCTCTTGAAGCCCAGAAGGCAGTCGGCGGTGTTGGCCTGTGGAAGCCCTTCCAGGCCCTGGGTCAGCGCCCGAACATAATGTGGCGTCTCTTTCTGGGTTGCATGCTCTTCTTCTGGCAGAACGGCTCGGGCATCAACGCCATCAACTACTATTCGCCTACCATATTCTCTGTAAGTGTGCTGTCCTTGCCCACCAAGATCTCAGCCGGAGGGACAGCAACATGCTAATCATCTGTAGAGCATTGGCGTTCGGCCCGACACTGTGAACGTCATGACTGGCATCTTCGGTGTCATCAAGGCAGTCATGACTTTTGTTTGGCTGCTTTTCCTCGTTGACCAGCTTGGAAGAAGGAAGCTATTGCTCATCGGTGGTATCACCGGTTCCATCTGCATGTGGGTTATTGGTGCTTACATCTACGTCGTCGAACCCACCAAGCATCCTCAAGAGACCTTGACTGGTAGTGGTATTGCTGCCATCTTCTTTTTCTACATGTGGACCGCTGTGTATACCCCGACGTGGAACGGTACTCCATGGGTCATCAACTCTGTACGTTTTTCTTTTATCCACTGTCTAAAAGCACCTACTAAATTTTCTTGATCAGGAATTCTTTGACCCAAGTTTTCGCTCACTGGCCCAGGCCTTCACGACTGCAAGCAACTGGTTATTTAATTTTCTGGTATCAAGATTCACTGAACAGATGTTTGCTGGTATGGGGTATGGTGTTTACATGTTCTTTGCGTCGCTGTCGTTCCTTGCCTTCTTGTTTGCCTTTTTCCTCATTCCCGAAACAAGTGGCATTCCTCTTGAGAAGATCGACCGGCTGTTTGAGCTGAAGCCGGTATGGAAAGCGGACAAGATACTCAAGGCCCAACTCAAAGAGGAGGAAGAACAATTTCGTCACAATGTCAAGGAGGACCTGGTCTACTATGAAAATAGAGATGACTCCTCTAATAGGTGTTAGATGACATAAATATTGGTAGATTGTTTATAGGGACAAGTGTAAGTCATCAAAGCAACCTCCGCGCCCAGTACAGACCTAGCCACAATCAATTCCTCTCGGCACCGGATGACACTATTTCTACTTCCAGCGTCAATTTCAAACAACCTAGATATACTGAAGATTGTATGATGCTTGAAAATCAATGGAGAGAAACAAGAAGCCCAAAGCGGATAAGTCTTCGCGGCTAAACAACGTCTGCTACCTTGGACGACTCAGGAAACACCCAGATGGAACGGCGAGAGATCACCACATGGCATATATAAGCCGAGATGATTTCTTGGAATTTTTAAAATCCTGTAAGCAAAGGAGCGTCAACTGAGCAGGCAAATCTGAGGCGTTCGTTTTTGCTGGCTCCGATCACTATGAAGAGCCCATACGATGCCAAGAATAGATACCCCTTGGAACTGGAAAATACATCAGGCCTGAACGACAGATAATTGTGAGTTTATATGATGACACGAAGCAAACAATGCCATATGGTCTCCCAAGTCATCCTTAATGTTCGGTCAACATCTCTGTCGGCCACCCTCACTCACACACGCACAAGCGTACTCAAGCCTGCGTCCGAGCTGCTAACCCCGATACAGGGTCACAGGACTCGTTTCATGGTAAGTCTTAGTGTTACTACCCTGGCTGAAGTTCACGTCTCGAACTTGTGCCCCAGCTGCAGCGTTATTTTTTAGTAGAATTAGCCGGGTACCTCACTCTAGCAGAGAGCAGATTGCCTCCTGGGAGAGCTCCCTGTTCCTTGTGATGGCTGCACTCTTTTATAGGACACAAGGGGTATCGTTAGAAGTAGGAGAGTGGCTCTCATCGGAAATCGTCAACTTCGGCTGTGGAAAATACGGAGGTGCCCTGGCCTTCCTTGACAAGGACGATAATGACACCCACTTTGACGGAATAGTCTCGTTACAAGATAGCTTGAACAATAGGGATGCCTAAAGTAGGTTTTGTTGGTGTTAAACTCGTTATTAAGCGCTTTGCTGGATTCATCCGTGGATGTCGATCCCGCGGATAGAAATGAACTAATCATTTGGCTAGAGAGATTTCACGGGGGGTTACCCCCCCACGAAACTTCCGTCTCCCCAGTGCCCAATCGACTGGGATGGGGACCGTGGAGCTACCATTTCAGTTTCCTATTTTCTACCACACCTTTTCATTAACCTGAATGTTACCTCAACTCCACGTCTCGATCTGTAGATGACATCTTGAATCTTAACTATTGAGATCTAGCATTGTGCGTAAATATACTCCCGAATTTTGACATCGACATCGCTTGAAATTATAGATGTGATAGTAAGTCCTTTGGGTATACAATGGCCAGCATTGAACGGACCCCGCTTTGTTATCCTAGCGAACCCTTCGGAGATATACATGGTGTCCGATGTAACCGAGAATAAGTGTTCTTATTATTCTGTCCTCTAACCTTCTATGTCAACGCCACCGATGAAATAATTGCCGGGTCTGCCAATGCAAGTGTAGTTATGGCTCCCTTCATCCGGAGTATGTGCCAGCTAGATGATTTGAAGGACCAGAATACGCAAAGTATATCAGACTGGATGAATCAGCAAAAGGGATTTGACATTACTCGGTGACAGAGTTGTCGAGATCGCACTTTAGGCCTATGTACCTTCAGAATCCTATTTCTAGACTCCCGGCACGCGACGTGATGGATGGATCATGATAATTTTAAGACATCTGCTCGAGACCTCAGACCAGCTTAGTCCCTTTTATCTAGTCATGCTTTCAAGTTGCAGAGACATTCGCCATTGACGGACAATGATGCCAACCGAGCAAGGTCATCTAGCTCCTCACCACCAACAACATGGCAGAATATCACCATGGGCAGCCTACGAAGTACAAAGATACGCACTACGGTTCAGGTAATCCAGCTCAATGTCGCCGTAGAATTTCTGAAGTATAGTAGGGTAGGTCTAAAGCAAGGAGCCCACGCCTCACTTAAATATCCATACCAAAATTTAGATTCTATACACAGAAAGAAGTAAGTACGAAATAGTTTAGATACTCAAAGTTAAGTTATATAACTTACGAATGGGTAGAACTGCTCCCAGTCAGTAAATTCAATACCCGGTTGCAACTCATAAGCCTGCGGGATTCCTGGGTCCGATATGGTCATGTCGTCTGGTGACGGTAGAACAACTTCATCGAACGTGAAGTTGTCGGACTCTTTTCATGCGGAAACGGTCGTATTCGAATATTTGATCAGTCGCTTGAACTCACACCGATACTCCTCTATCACAACTTGCAACCGATACGGCAACGAGTCCTCGACAGCTTGAGTAGCAATGTAAGACTGGCAAAGTTCTGCTGCCCGGAAGTACTCGATCCAAGTTGATTGGTCTTGGGATGTCAATTTGAAAGTGTGTGTATAGAGCACAGTTGCTGCACAATATATTTGATAGTAGGCATGCTATGTTAAAATCAGAATGGTTGATATGCTCAGAGGTTCTATGCTCTTACCCATGACCCGGTGAACAATTGCTTCGCAGCAACAATGCGACCGGCAAGATTTGCAATAGACATCGCTGCGTTGACACATTTGGCAATGTTTGCTTGGACCTCATGAGCAGGAATCTGTGTGTCCTTCCTCAGATCGCTGAAAAGGCTGTGTCTGTAGACAAAGAGCCGAGTATGGTGATACGCCAAATTGAGTACCTTGCTTTGCCGTTGGAGGCTGGGAAGTAGGAGGGCAGAATCGACTAGATCAGGATTGAGATGTGCTGGTAGAGCTTCTCGCCATAGATCAAGTTCTTTGTCAAGCTCTGCCATGAGACTGTAGCGTCCGATCTCAGAGAGACGCCGAACTCCATATAGTAAACGCAAGGTTCGACTTACAATCTGCACAAGCCTGGGTGCCGAGATCAGTAGGTGAGGTCAGCACAAGGTGTTCCCGTTTAGCGCACTTGATATGCATTATAGGTCCTTGCATGAAACAGAAAGGTCCTTGTGCTTCGGCGGTAATCCCAACCTCTGAAATGTGTTCATCGTCTATCGCTCTTGGCAGGTCCTGATGTTTGGGTCTCGTTCAGCACTGTACCGAGCTCCAGGCAGGACTTTACACTTACCTGGTCGATGTTTTCGTCATGGAATGCGCTAGGTCGACCGTGGATGGCACTCAAGTATCTGTCTACAGCACTCTTTCGGTATCCAAAAACCTGTGAGCCTCTCCTATGCAGCCCCAGAGCGAGAATCTGGCGGGAGATGGAGCCGAACAGAGTCCAGGAGTGGCCTAGGCGTGTCAAGGTGATTGTGTACAAGCAGAATCCCAGGAGCACCTGTACAACGATCAGAGTTGCTGGGCCGGCCTCACGCGCCAATTCCCTCTCAGCTGCTTGGTAATACAGAATCCTGTGACGGCGACGGTCAGTTCGACTGGGAATGTTCAAAATCTGTGGAGGTCCCGAGGGGCGCAGGCTACTCACCCGCTGGAGCTACTCGTAGCTTCTGAAGTTGTGGTAGGATCAACATATCGCGTTGCATTGGCCATGATGATCAACAAGGCCGCCTTCTTACGATCTTCAGGCTTAGTTAACCCATTAAGGGCTAGGCTATAATTATAATAAAGAATAGATCTTAAATATAATATAATATTATAACCTAGTATTAATATAATAGCCTAATTAAACTTTTATAGTAATAAAAGAGTTATACTTAGCTATATTATTATAAAAATCTAACTTCTTATAGGTATTTTAATTACTCTAACCTCTATATAAGAAATAAGAGAATTATCTACCTTTTTATCTTCTTAAGCTATAATCTCTTAATATTATAACTTTAAACCTAATATCTATAAGAATTATAATTAATTAAATAATTAAAATTACTAAATTATATAATTATATCGCCGCTACTTAATATAAGAATTAATATCTTTTACCTTTTAATTTCCTTTATAAAATATATAATCTTCTTTATAATATATAATTATTATTATTTTGGGATATTAATATAATAAGAGTTATTATAGATTAAATTAAAAAGCTAGATATTTATCTTAAGCTTATAATCCTAGGTAAAGAAATATTTCTTATAACCTTAGAGCGCCTAGGGGTATTATAAAACCTTAGGCGCTTTATATAATACTAAGAGTTATTATTACTTAAAAGTCTTAGGGATAAAAAGCCTAATAAATATTTATTTATTAAGGTTATAAAGAAAAATATAGCCTAGATTAATAGCCTATTAGATATAATCTAATAACTAAGAGAGGCCTAGCGAGAGGAAGACTATAGGTAAAGCGAGGAAGTTAGGGGAGGGATTAAGGTTTTTAAGTTATTAAGTTATAAGAGTGATTTAATTATTAGGAAGGAAAAAGGTTTTAGTTATAAAGATAAAAAGGTTTAGGTAATAGCTACTAGGGTGAGTTAACCTATAAGGAATATACGAAGGAAAATATTAGTTAGAGCTTAAATATAATATCTCAGCGAATTGCCAAACTTGTTAGTTGGCGCATATATCATCTTTGAATATAATGGCCGCCTTCTTACAAGGCTCCAGAACACCTGTCTGATAAAGCTCACGTAGCCAGCTTTCGACTGTACCACGATGAAAAAACCTGATCGTGGGCGTCGCGAGAGTGAAATAAGTGTTCACCAACGCACTTGCGTCTGGTTCAGACGGGAGTGTGAAAGACTGTACATCAAACTCCGGGAGAGCTGCGTCTCCGAGAGCGAGCAGCGACGGCGGCGCAACTGCGTGCCCTGCACGATGTAGCTGTCTCTGCAGGCGCAGAAGGAAGTTGAAGCCAGAAGCAGCACCGATGAAGTGACCTTGGTTATCTGACTCTCCGGGCTCGGGCGAAGCTCTGGATGACTGCGATGGATTTGGATTATCGCCTTGCGTGACAGCATTGATGTTTCTGCCTATTGCCGTCGTCTCAGCAGACTTTCTTGGGATGTTCCTCCCTCTGTTGTGACCTCTCTCGTAGGGAGCATCATATCTGTACGAGACATTGTGGAGTGTACAACGTTGACATGGTTGATGACCATCGCATCGGATTTTTTTGCTACGCCGCTCACGAAGTTTAGTCCACAGCACTAATTAGCATGTGTCGCAGGGCTACTCACAGCCTGCAGTAGTCACACGCTCGCCTGACACGCCGTTTGACATGCTCTTTGTTGGGTTTTGGCGCTTGTGGACTGCCAAGTTGTGGGTTGGTGGAGTTGGTCGTGGTTCCGGACCACGGTGAAGGGAGATTATCCATGTCTTCTACCGTATAGGATTCGAGTCTATCCGGGGGGCTCGATTTTGGAAGTAGAATTTCGGAAAGCGAGAGATTATATGCACGTCGGGACCGGCTCGAGGGTCGGATAGGGCTCGGATAGCCTCTCGGTTCGGCCATAACCACGGTCAACGCCAGCCAGCCGATCCTAGCCCCAAGGTGGGTGGCATGTATGTGGGATCCGGCTATGTTGTGTTGGCCGAAACTCTACACTACACCAAATTCACCACTTCGACGCCGCGAGGCCTTGGGATTGACATGTGCGTCCGGGCCTAGCTGAATAGGCGTGCGTGCATTGCTCCGCGATACGGACTTGCAGATGCAGATGCAGCGATTAAGAGGCCGAATATCGGCAAGATGAAGCATGTCATACGACGATCAACGGATATTTATACAAAGGGGCTGCTTCTTAGCTTCGTGTCTATTCGTTCGAGATCAAACAGCCAAAGACAACTTTACAACAGCACTCAAACGCAAGTGTCATACAATATACAATGCCAGTCGCTGTGGGAACACCTTCGCACCCCAAGAGGGGCACTCGTCCCGTTCGGATCGCGAACTGCTCCGGGGGTCAAATGGATCCTGGATGGCAGATGAAGAAGCAAGCGTCTCTGGGGCCCGTAGACGTCCTCACGGGCGACTGGCTCGCCGAAAACAACCTGGCGCAAGAAGCGATCAAGATTGAGAATGGTACCGGGGAAGGCTTCAAGGACAATGCCTGGGATGCCCTGCAGCAGAGTATGGGAATAATTGTAGAGAAACGCCTCAAAGTCGTCATCAACGGTGGAGGGCTCAAGCCTCAAACGCTGGCTGAGCGCTGCCAAGAGCTGGTCGATAAGAACAACTACCCCCTCACCGTTGCATATGTCTACGGAGACAACATGGCGGCCCAGGTTCGCAAGACCTTGACTGAGACTGACAAATTGCCCCAGAGCTTCCGAGACGTCAACGCAGATGCCCATGCGGGTGTCACCTTCAAGTCAGAGAACGTACTTGCATGCAACGCCTACCTCGGAGCCCGGGGCATCGTCAAAGCACTCGAGAACGGCGCAGACATCGTCATCTGGGGTCGCGTCGCTGATGCGTCTCCGGTCGTCGGAGCTGCTTGGTGGTGGTACGGCTGGAAGGACACCGAGTATGATCAGCTGGCTGGCGCATTCGTCACTGGACATCTCGTCGAATGCTGTGCTTACGTCTCGGGCTCGAACTTTTCTGGCTTCACCCGTTTCCCTATGGAAACATTTATTGACTCCGGCTTTCCCATTGCAGAGATCCACGCCGACGGCTCTAGTGTCATTACCAAGCACGAAGGCACGAACGGCATGGTCACAGTAGACACTGTGAAGAGCCAGTTGATCTACGAGATTCAGGGAAACATCTACCTCAACTCGGATGTGTCCGCAGTCCTCGACGGTATCGTCATAAAACAAGAGGGCAAGGATCGAGTCCGTGTTACTGGAGCTAAAGGTCGCCCGCCACCCCCTACAACCAAGTTGGCCATCTACTACAGGGGAGGATACGAATCTCAGCACTTGGGAAATGCTGCCGGCTATGCCACGAAGCAGAAGTATGCTCTTTATGAGAAGCAATTGAGGGCCCGCCTTGCAGAGCAAGGTTTGATCGACCAGTTCAGTGTCTTGGCCTTCCAATCATAAGTCTTTCGGCAGCCTGGCTGAGTAGTTGAGAGCCTCGATACTGACACGTCTCCTCCCGCTTTCCAGTGTCGGCACGGCAAAGAAGAACCCGCACACCCAGTTCGAGGCCACGACTTACTTCCGCACTTTTGCGCAGGCCGCGACTCCGGAACCCATACTGAAGCTCAAGATGTTGATTTCAGACGAGACGTTACAGCATTTCTCCGGTCAGCCTCATTATATCTAGCAATCCATTGATGTTAAAATGCTCAACTTTGGCAGGTTTCCATTGGGCTGAGGATCAAAGGACATCTGATCCGAGGACGTTCTACGTCTACTATCCTTGCGTCATCGCCCAAGACGACATCGAAGAAGGCGCCAACATACTCGGTACGGGTGGCAAGATCGTGAGCACTCACCCATCCACACGACCCCCCGTCTACGAGCCACTAGGTGAGCGGGAGAGCTACGATCCGGTCAATCCCGCCGATTTGACTTCTTTCGGTCCCACTAAGCATCGCCCTTGGTGACATTGTCCTCGGCCGCTCCGGCGATAAGGAGCCCAACATCAACTGCGGCATATTCGTGGAGCGCCCAGAGATGTGGGAATGGTTCAGGAGTTTCATGACCATGGACCGCATGAAACAATTGATTGGCGGGGATTGGAAGGACGAGTATCGCATTGAACGCGTTGAGTTCCCTGCCATTTATGCCGTTCACTTCGTCATGTACGGCATGCTTGGCCGAGGAGTTAGCAGCTCCAGCTTGCTGGACAATAGAGGCAAGGGCTTCACTGATTATATCCGTGCCAAGCACATCGAAGTTCCGGAGCAATTCCTGCAGTGGGCATACACAGGAGATGAGTAAGGTTGATGTAGATATCTATAGTTGGCAAATTCACAAGACAAGACAAGACAAGACAACAATACAAGGGTAGGCTTGCACACAGCAAAAGACGTTTCGCAAATGACACCCACCTGTGGCCCATCCTTGCAGAAGCAGCTCCACTGGACCAGGAGCCTGATTACGGCTCCGTAGAATACAACCAGGAGCTTAGCTCTAGAATTAACACTCCATGCAACCTAATGGAAAGTCTTGAACGGGTGTATACAGCTGCTCTGCGAGATCGGAGAGCTTAGATAGGCTCATTGTAGTTTAGGGCACCTATCCTAGTTGTGGCAAGACTAGTCAGGCAAAACTAGTCATGGCGAAGACACTTGCTGGACCAAAGACCCGTCCAGAGCCCCGAGCTCTTTCAAGAACAAGATGGCCTACGGCATCATGATTCGTTGCTGCCGGTACCAGTTGGCAAGTGGTGTAACGCTCACGCTATTGCCTGTGAACCTAGAGAACTATACGCGCACTACTAGAACGGAGCTCCTGAGAGGTACAATCCGAGAAAAGGGGGCACTAATGATGCAAGAGACGTCTATATCTGGACAGGTCTCAAAAAGGCACTGAGCTCATGCGGATCTCCAGGATGCCAATCAATTCCTAGTGGCTCGGTCTTTCGAGTCATGAAGATGCAACCAATGAAAGTAGCTATGATAGCCGCTCTCGGTTTTGTCATAGCCGGATAGCCGGTCCCAAGGAATATCTGACGTTAGTGCAAAGAATTACTGGTGGGACCTTTAGCGTCCATCTCAATACTACGATAAACGCACCAAGTCCGGGGCCCCGGATTCCAGGTTCGGGGCCCCGGATTCTCACACACCCGAAGTCACGGGTGGAGGGAGGAGATCTAGCGGAACCAGATTAAAAGACAGTCATTGACCACTCCCGCTCGCAATCATCTTGAAACCGATTCTTACACATCTAGACTAATTTCTCAATTCCCCTACAGAGGCCACATTTGTTATACATCATGGCTCGCGTCCAAGACGGAGATGTTCTCGAGGTGAAACCTCGCCGGCACTACAAAACGTCCTTGATCTGGTACTGTTGCGGTGCCTCGTGGAGCGCAGCATCGTATGGCTTTGGTGCAAGCATCATGGCAACAACGATTGGGCAGCCATCTTTCCTACGCGAGATGCAACTAGACACTGCTTCCAATGCCTCTGAGTTGATTGGCGCGGCCAACGCCATATATTTTATAGGCGGCTTCGTGGGTACTCTCCTGACTGCAATATTTGCCGACAGATACGGCCGCAAGCCTGTCATTGCGGCAGGAGCCGTCATCATGTTACTCTCGACTGCAGTATTGGCCGGTTCTGTTCACATGAGCATGTTCATATGTTTCAGATTCTTCGCCGGTGTCGGGTATGTACTGGCAACAGGCTGGCTATACAGACAACTAATCGCACTCCAGGGGCTATATGGCCTTGACTGCAGGTCCTCTTCTGATTGCCGAGCTTGTTCCGCCCAAGCATCGTGGCATACTTCTCGATATCAATCCAATCTTTACCAACATCGGCTACACCTCTGCCTCATGGATCGGCGTCGGATTTTTCTTCTACAAGAATGGCGACTCGTGGAGAGGCCCCATTGCAATTGGCTGTCTGCCATGTATTCTGAGCCTCATTTCCATCTACTTTGTCCCAGAGAGCCCACGATATCTTGTGCTCAAGGACAAGGCGGGGGAGGCCTGGGAAGTTGTGCGGAACCTCCATATCACAGATGGTGACGACTCCTTTGCCAGGCGAGAGTTCGAGCACCTCAGCGTCCCTCGGTCACTCAAGGAGTCGACACGGGGCAACAACACTGAAGTCTGTCATTACCAGATGGACCCAGTCAACGCGACTTCGAATGCAGGCGATGGCGACGATGCCGGCGCCAGCTGCAACGGTGTACTCAGCGATAAATGTCAGGAAGCTCTGCGACGTTCAGGAGGACCATTCAACGGCCTTTGTCCAAGCATGGACATTGAAGAAGAGTGCGGAAAGCCCATGAGGCTATGGACATGTATGTTTCCTCCAATACTCCTCAGCTGTCTCCCCGGTCGATGCCACAGCAAACTGATTAAACTCCCTTAGCAAAACCCTTTAACTTTTCCAGTTCCAATTGCTCAGTTGATAAACTACCCGGAGTGGCGCTTCCGAAGGGATATCGAGCATTCAGCATCATGTTCGAAGGCCACTGCCTTCCCCGTGAAGAGAATGGCTTCCTCGAAGCCTACGATTCGATGGTGCGGCAACCCCTTCCCATGGTTTTGGCAGCAAAGATTCCTGGTCAAAACAAGATCGTAGTCGAGATTGCTTGCATGGCTCCGGACAATATCACGGCAAATAGTCGTGTTCCGGATAGCGAGTTTCCGCCTAGTGGTGCTGCCGACTTGATGGTGCGAATAACGGCGATGACTGCAGTCGTCGTAGCTGGTATCGTTGGTGTGATGCTTGTTTGACGGATCGGGGTCAAGTTTGTGTATTTGAGATGCTTGTACTTAGGGATTGCATATCGAATATGTTCTACACTGTGTTATCATCTGATGTGTACAATAAGGTAGCTAGCCAATCAACCCACCGTTGGACCCTTCGAATATTATATAGCCCTGTCTTTAATAACCTTCAAAGCAAGGCGTCATCCAAGAATCATGTTGGAGTGTGAGAGGATCTACCCTGCACGTGGCCGGAACTCGTTTGCCGATATCCTTGCTATCAAAGGTGGCATGATGCAGGATTCTATACGGGCCTTGGCCATGCAGCCAATAAGATCATTGGAAGTGAGACATTAACCAACAAATGAGTGAGATTACCCCCTGTAGGCGCATGATTACAGATCACAGAAAACAGACTGGTTGTCCACTGGCCACGACTCAAAGAAGGGACGTTTTGCGGCTCCTAGGAGAAGAAAAATCACCAACGAGGTTTTACATAACTAATCAGATATTGATCCCAGATTTAAGTAAAATGATAGAGCATCTTGTGCATCATGAAGCCGCCTTGAAGAGCTGCCCTATGATGACGGATGGCAGGTGGGATGAGTGTGAGAGCAGGGGTTGATTCAGCCGCAAATCACTCCCCCTCATCTCCCAAAACTGTCACCACTTTAGAGCACCGTGGGAATAGAAACCAACCGACCGCCTCAAGTCGTCCAGATGGATCCTCTATCTATATTGTCGGTAGTGGCCGCAACGATACAGTTTGTTGACTTTGGACAACGATTATTCTCGGAGACATGGCAAATCTATCGCTCTGCTTCAGGCCAGACCCTCCAGCTACAGAATCTCTCGGCTATCTCATCGGATCTCTCTGGGCTATCCACAGGCGTAAAAGAGGCTTTTCAATCTCGAAATAAGAGCAATTCTTGCTTAGAGGATGCCGACAAAGAGTTGCTTCGCCTTTGTGGCGAGTGCGATGCCATCGCCTCCAAAATCCTTACAGTTCTGCCCAAGATTAGCACCGCCTTCCAATCCGAACTAGCTCAGGACAAGAAAGCGGTTGAACGAGCCTGGCTTGGGTCATACGAACCAAGATCAGCGGGAGAATGCTTCCGAGCAGCATTGAAGAGTTGGTGGCAGCGAGAGGAGATCGTGGACATCAGTGAACGCCTCGAGAAAGTGCGTCAAGGAATGATGATGGCCGCAACCATGTCGATCTGGTACGTTCTTGTCACCAAGCTCAAGCTGTCTTCATATTAGGCGTCTTACTTACCGTTCTTAGGGCTAATGCGCAGAGCACCAAAGACTGGGAGCACCAATTTAGCAAGAAGCTAGATATAATGATAGGCATGGTGTCTCAAGCTTTAAAGACAAGCGAATATGCAGGCCCGGAGCAAAAACGAACCGGAAACAAAAAGACGGCTGAGAAGAGTGCTGCCGACTCCATACGACAGAGCGATCTGACGGCCCAGATAGTAAGACGTATTTGGAGTCCTCACTGGAAATTCGATCGAGCCCTTCTGGCCTCCTTCCCACAGCAGACTGACCTTTCAGCCGACCAACTCAAGTCAATCATCTGCGAAAGCTTGAGGTTTGACTCGATGGACAATCGTGAAGAAGCGATCGCCAAGACGTTCGACTGTACTTTTCGATGGGTGTTCGATAGGAGCCCACAGATTTCGCCCGAAGGAGCCCCTATGTGGTCCAGTCTCCCAGATTGGCTTGAGGGAGATTCTGGTCTCCCTTACTGGATCACTGGGAAGCCTGGCTCTGGCAAGTCCACCATGATCAAGTTCATCCTACACCATGAAGCATTGGACGGTCACCTACAGAAGTGGACTCGAGGGTCTCCATTATACAAGATCAAGTACTATGCGTGGAAGCCAGGAGCGGAGATGGCAAGATCAGTCGATGGATTGTTGCGCACTCTCCTTCACCAGGTTCTCACCATGAGCCCTGATATGACGCCAAATATCTGTCCCCGACGCTGGTCCCTATTCCACGCAGTTCGTGAGATCGGATCGTTCCCTCCCTGGACCACTTGGGAGTTGGAGGAATCCTTTGCACGCCTGCTGGCTTTCAAAGAAGGTGGTGCTCGCCTCATCCTCTTTATTGATGGTCTAGATGAGTTTGACATTGCTCCCGTTGACTTATGCAAGAGGATACAGGGCATCTCCGCTCACCGAACCGTCAAAGTCTGTGTTGCTAGCCGGCCTTGGCCACAGTTCAGCGACGCCTTCGCAAGTAGCCCGGGGCTGCAGATGCACCTTCTGACGGATGCCGATATTCAGGCCTTTGTTCGCGGCCACTTCTTTGGAGTGGTCGCTTTTCAGGAGTTGAACGATTTGTACAGAGGTGGCGGTGATCAGCTGCTTGAAGACATTGTGAAGAAAGCCAAGGGCGTCTTCCTCTGGACCGCGCTGGTTACTCAAACACTCTTAGAGAACCTTGTCGATGGGTCAAGCCTACCACACCTCAAAGCGATTCTCGACATGATGCCAAGCGAGATCGAGAGTCTATACGACGCCATCTATGCAGCAATTCCCAGGAGACTCCTTCCAGAAGTATCTGCAACTCTGCAGCTATATGTCCTGGCTTTCCAACCACTCAACTGGATGACCTTCTGGCTCTCTGACGAGACCAGGGATGGATCAACCACCATCCACACTCAGTCTCTAGACATGGACAAGGTACAAGCGTCTGTGAAACGGAGACTCGGGGCCCGTACAAGGGGCATCCTGGAACTCGTACCTCGAACACAAACTATTGAATACCTCCACCGAACAGCGGCTGAGTGGATCAACCAAAAGCGTGTCTGGGAGCAACTCAAATCCGTGAGCCCACCAGACTTCGATCCTCATTACTGCCTACTTCAGGCAGAAGCTATCCAAGCGGAGAATTGGAAACCATCCGAACGCTTCTTCCTCCCGGGCAGTGTCGCCTTTTGGAAGGATGTGACGAAAGGGCTGCATTACGCCTCTCAAGTTGATCCCGCTGTCATCCCAGATATAACACTGGCAACTGCCCTTGATCGATTTCATGATGCGGTTGCAAAAACGTTTACAACCTTCATCGGCCTGGAAGACACTGATTCTACTGCCAGGCTATCCTGGGCATCGTACCAGCCCATGAAAACGCAGGGTGTGAAAGCAAATACCTTCAATGGCCTGACGGCGCAATTTGCCATTGTCCCGTACATTCGCTATACGTTTAAGGACAAGGCTACATCATTCCACCCAGTACCCCAGAAGCGGTCTGTAGCCTTGCTTGAGCAGGTTATTTTTGGACCTGTAGCATATAGTGCTCCCGGAGTGCTGGCGATTCTCGACCAACCGAACCTGCCGAAGGTCTCATATTCCCAAAGGTTACAAGCACTCAGTTTTCTTCTCGAGCGTGGGGTGCGACAACCTGGTATTGTGGCCATGGTCAAGGAGCATGGAAGTGATGAGAACAGCAAGGGTAACGGCGGCGATTATGGCCAGTATCTTAGTGATGTTTTACAGCTGCTAGTTCAGCATCGAGCAACAAGCGGAGAGAGGAGGAGTTACATGAAGAGGTTATTCAGGCTGGATTGACTGAAATGAAAGTCAACTTGATGCGTGTGTGGAAGTGTTGGGATCATTGGCGAGGTTTCTCTAAACTTCGAGTGGGGAGTCTATCTCTCGATCTTGGGTGATGACATGAGTATACGAGCTTACGAGAGCATTTTGGCTTACATGGTATTGATAATCTCAGAAGCACCCTGCGACTTGCATTCCGAGTAGATATTAGTTTAACTGTCATATTCCCTCGGCGATCCTTGAGACTTATCGGGCCTTTCAAGACGCGTTTCTCATGTTCACAGCAGCAAGTAGTCTAAGACATTGTGAGCCCCAGCACGCATGTGACAGAACCCCGGCTCTACCTAAGATGTTTCCGGAGGGGTCCTATCATTTTGCATTTGCCGGCTGGCAAAGATACAAGGGACGAGTGAGTATGAGGCCGTGATCGACATGAGCACCGACCTCTCAACCTAGCGTGGGTGCTAGGGTAGCTGATCCCTGGGATCAGCCAATATTGTTATTCTGTATGTTACTAGCCGAGAGGCTGAGCAGTGCGTATGTTGAGACTTTACTACTTTCAGCAAGCGACACACAAGCAAATCTGGGACCCTTGATGATGTACCTGGGTCTGTGAAGGATTGATTCGATCGAGCAGAACGGTTCGATACTGAGTGTGCCCCAACATCACCAACGCTAAACTTAATTTCAGCTTGTCCCCCATGTAAAGAGATCAGCCTGCAAGGTAATGCACCGAGCTATCTCACTGTTAGTACACTAAACGATAGTTGAGAAAATCGGTTGGCGGCATCTCTTTCCTGAGCCGTGCTCCCCGGCTGATACCAAATGTAACCGTGCTGGATTTGCCGAACAGGAATGTGACAACCAATCCTTGCCCAGTTGCCCGCGTCCCTCATGCCATAACGGTTGATTGCTTGCAAAGCGCAGTCGCTCTTAGGTCTCCAAGTTGAGATCATAACCGACCTGCACCAGATCTTGATTCACTTGGTACCAATGCGCCTTGACTCGCAACATGGCCGCGAAGATCCCTGGATTCGGATGTGTCACCACAAAACAGCGCGTTTTCGGCGCATCCGGGTATCAGCTGAAGGGCATCGAGGGAATCCCAAGTGACACCGTCTCCGGCGAATGGTGATCAGAGGGAGACTGTGACTCACTACGACATATCCCTCCACTATCTGAGAAGAATCCCAGCTGAGACGCTCAAATGGGGAACGATGGGATGCCTAGACACGCGGCTCGGTTAGACGATTCTCTTTACATGACAACTGAGACGATCGGTCCCCTGGTGTGGTAACCAGCCTTGAAGTAAACCAACTATTTTTCATTTCAGAAGGTGAAGGAAATCGCGAGCATCTGTTCAATGTCATGACGATACTCTGATGGTCTCTTCATCGTTATGAAGAAAAGCACCAGGCTATCACTCAGAGTGTCACTCAGACTCGAATTTGGACCAGGACATCGTGGACACCTCAACTCACGCAGTGTATAATGATACTACCCTATAGAGATGCTAGTCTGTCATCTCTCAATTACACTCGGCCCAACTACCAAGACAGAATGACAAAAGTTCCATAGCCCAGTGGATCCGTTGAGGGACATTGGTCGATCCGATAACGAAAAGAGAGTACAACAAAGCTTAGCCTAGTGGGGGTGTTTGACTGTTTTCGTCCAACCGTTGGTCCTTGTCATCCAATTAATATTGTCTCACGTTAAAATAATTAAACGACCATTGATCTACATGACAGGAGTTTGTGTCTCAATATCGACTTGAGTTGAATATCAATTAATAACACACCAGCTAGGGAAAGGGAATGATGTTGCTTAAAGGCACATGGAGTTTGGACCAGCTAGCCAGAAAAGTCTACACTCCCTGGGAATATGGAACAGCGTAGATTGCCACCCCCCAGGCATCCTTGTTGCGCAAGAACCAAGAATAATGAAACAAAAGCCCTTTGAGTCTATCTGATTACAATTGGGCCGAGGCCCGCAACAAGTCCAGCAAAAACCATGATCCCCTGATCAATGCCGATAGAAGAACCAGCAGACCCAACGACGACTGGAGTCTCTATACCGCCAGATGCAGTGGTAGTTCCAGAGCCAGAGCCAGAGCCGGGACTCTCCGGGGTACCAGGCTGTTCAGGCCTGTCGAGTTGTTTGTTGGTTCCAGGCTCCTCTGGGAAGCCAGAAACCCCAGAAGCATCGGGGTCAGGAACGCCAGACTGAGACCCAGGTTCAGAGGAACTGGGGGCATCGGGACTGAGGGCCCCCGGCTCCAGATCGGCCGCATTGGAGTTTTTGGGAGGGTCCAGGCCGGAGTTGGCCCCAGTAGGATGGGAGGAAGGAGTGAAAGCGCCTGGTTCACCAGGTTTGGGGAAATCAGGCACGGGAAGCTGGGTTCCGGCGGGGACGAAGGCTGTCGCGATGCCATGGCCGTTTCCAGGACAAGCCTCAGTGGTGATTATTGGGAGGGTGCGTGTAAGCACGCAGCTTGAGGCCCGATCATTGTCTCCAGCCATTGCTCCGTTGAGGAGATGGGCAAGAGTGAAGACTAACCAATGCCTCATTGTAGTTGAAAGCGTCTGGTACGAAAGAGTTTGGGAAGAGGAGAAGTGATGTTTGTTCGGTATCTAACAACAAAGTGATACCAGTGAGAGTTTTGGTGTAGATGTAGGCGGTATGCTTGGTCTGTCTTGCTCCGAGTAGAGAATCTTAGCCCTACTTTATAATCAGCACAGCTTCGATGACAGGGCCATGCTAAAGTTGCCATAACATCGCGTAAACATGACCCACGGAAGACGTGGTATTGGAATTGGCTGATCAAGTTTTTCACCGAGTTCATACCGTCGTTGATGTTCCGCTCCACAATATGAATCCAGGAATAGTAAGGAAAAGAGATTCTTTGTCCGGATGAAGTTACTCTCATAACTAAGGAAGGGCTCGAGAGACTGGTGTGCATCCTTCTACACAGCCACAACTGAGAGGGGATGCCGGAACAAGGAATGAAGATGTGGATTCTTGTGGGGGATAATACACTGTCTGACTCCCAGTAGAAGCGATGGTGACCATGAAGATCGCCGAGATAGATACCCCACAAACATGGCTGGCATGGTCTTTGGATCAAAGGCATCGCATCATATGCACCATCACTTAGACTTTCGTTCGCCAAGGTCAGTCAATAGTTGAGGGTTGGTTTACAGGGATTGCAAGAGCAGCTGCAACCGAGATAACAGGTTAGGCTGAAGACTTACTGAATCCGGATCGTAGACTATCCCTGGATGTCAAGTAGTCATTCGGACCGAGACCTCTTCGCCTATCTGACCAGAGAGGGAAAATGACAACTAGGGTGCCCATAGTGAGGTTCAGTTTTACCCAGTCCGTACATTCAAACAGCATTTCTGTAAGTCTCCTGGAACAGACATGTTGAAGAATGAACTTTGAAGCTAGGATTAGGCGAGGAGTGGGATCGGCGATCAGTATCACGCAGTGTCCGAACCAAGGCCGGTGCAGAAATGTTACTTTTGGATAGGTATTTTAAATCAACGTGCAATGTTGATGAATTTGGAACAGATTGATGCAGACGACAGTTCGAAATGATCATCTATATAACATGGCTCTGGTGTCCGCCAACTGTTCATCCTCTCACACCACAACGCACATACAACCACCCCGACTTTCTTTTACAGACCTACAACACTTTCGCTTTGTTCTATAACGCCACAAAACATGCATCTTCTGTCCTTTTTCGGGCAGTGTGCGGTTTTCAGCCTGCTGAGAGCTGCACTCGCCGCTCCTGGTCAAGCTGCCTGTCCTGGTGGAGGAGTTGAGATTGTCGAAATCCAGCCACACGAAATCATTTGTGATGGGAAGGCTTCAATTTCCATGGGTACCAGGTAAGAACGCTCGTTTTCTTCTAGCACGATGAATCCTGTCGATAACTAACATCACGAAAAAGAACTTATACCAAATACCCGGGATCGACTGAAGTCCCGGCTCCAGATCACCCCGGCCAGCCCTATCAACCTGGGGCTTCGGTATCACCCGGATCTCCTGGCAATACTCCGAATAACCCTGGTCAACCATATGCCCCCGGGAACGCGGACGAGTCACCCCCTTGCGAGAACTGTGTCACAATTATAACTACAGTGGCTACTCCGTTCTGTACCACTATTCCCCCGGACACTGTGGGTGGTGTTCGTACTGTTGTGACCGGTGTGTCTCTTCCTTGCGAAGATTGCGTCACTGTCACTACCACCGGATCTATCCCTCGTATCACAACACTGGTCCCAACTTGGACTGGCGGGAAGACGACTGTTATCATTTACGTAGCCTCCTCGCCTCCCACGACCATCACTGAGACCCATCCTTGCACCGGCATCGGGAAATGCCAACCCACAACTATTCCACCGCCTACAGATTGTACTGTTGGGACTTGTACGGCCATTGTTGTGCCTCCTCAAAGCAACGACCCTCCTGGTGTCACAACGACGACGGTTACGTCTAGTTGCATTGGGACGACGTCAGACTGCATCCCTACAACTATACCACCTCCACCTGATTGTACTGTGGGGACTTGCACAGCCATTGTTGTACCTCCTCGAAGAACCGACCCTCCCGGTGTCACGACGACGACTGTTACGTCAAGTTGCACTGACAAGTCGAATTGTGACCCTACAACTATCCCACCTCCCTCTGACTGCACTGTCGGGACTTGTACGGCTATTATCGTACCTCCTCAAACTAGCCCTCCCACAGTTACCACCACGACGGTCGTATCCAGTTGCGCAGGCACTTCGACTTGTGTTCCCACAACCATCCCGCCTCCCTCTGACTGTTCTACTGGAACTTGCACCGCTATTATAATCCCTCCACCCACCAGCACTCCTCCCACGGTCACCACAACAACTGTCATATTGCGCTGTGCTGGAACGTCGAGTTGTGTTCCTACAACTATTCCGCCAGCTTCAGACTGCACTACCGGAACATGCACTGCTATCATCATACCACCTCCTACTAGTACTCTGTCAACCACGTCAGTCACGACGACGACGATTATCTCGTCTTGCACTGATGCTGAGAGCTGCGTCCCAACAACTATCCCGCCAGCTTCAGACTGTACTGCCGGAACTTGCACGGCTATTGTCATTCCACCTCCTACTGGTACTCCGTCAACAAGTTCACCCTCAAATGTTATTTCATCTACTAGTGCTACTCCTCCTACCGTTCCCACGACATCAGTCACCACTACGACGATTATCTCGTCCTGCACTGACACCGACAGTTGCACTCCAACAACTATCCCACCTCCTTCAGACTGTTCTATCGGAACATGTACTGTTATTGTCATTCCTTCTCCGAGCACTTCACTTGGCACTACTGAACCAACTACCTCGCTCAGCCTGACATCAGAAGTCCCATCTTTACCCGCAACATCCACTGTACTATCAGACACCTCCTCCATACCCACCACGTCTACCATAGCGTCAGAGCCCCCCTCTCTGTCTCCAACATCTACCACAATATCGGAGTCCTCCTCGGTGCCTGCCACACCTACAACTTTAGAGTTAACATCCGTATCCACCACATCCACAACGACCCCAGAACTCCCATCCACGTCTACCACATCCAGTACAACATCGTGTGCCGTCACGGAAACCCGAACTGTGTCAGCCAGTGGTTCGGAGGGCACAGAGACCTCATGGGTAGTTCCGGATTGTGCTAGAACCATGCGCTTTGAGGTTGCAGGTGGCCAGGGCGGTCAAAATGTGGTGCCATATAATGGAGGAAGTGGAGCATTGATATCAGGATCCTTTGCAGTGGTACCCGGGCAGACAGTAGTCGGAATTGCCGGTGGCCAGGGAGATACAGGCGTTGCCGGAACGAGCCCATACGGAAACGGCGGCACTGCGTCCGACGGGGGTGGTGGAGGTGGTGGAGCATCAGTCCTCCGCATTGCCGGCAACGACATCATCGTCGCTGGCGGTGGAGGAGGAGGTAGTGTCGTTCAGGGTTCAGGAGGAAACGCCATCAGAACCAATAACGATGATAATCGAGGCAACGCTGGGTTCGAAGGGCAACAAGGCGTTTCCCGATACGTTGTTGGTGAGGGAAATACTGGGACAAGTGGTTACTATTCTGTTGCCCGTGGAGGAGGTGGTGGTACGAGCACCGGCCCTGGTGCCGGTGGAACGTATGGAGGAAACCAGGATCTAGCCAGCAACGGAAATTCAGGGTCCGGCCATAACGGCGGAGCTGGCGTTCCAACCCCGAGATCTGCTGGGGGTGGAGGCGGATCAGGCGGCGGCGGTGGAGGTTACTATGGCGGTGGCAGTGGTTCTACGCTGGCCTGGAACTACCAGGACACCGGTACTGTCTCTCCTGCTGCTGGTGGTGGAGGATCTAGCTTTGTCAGCTCCGATGCCACAGATGTCACGCAGGGTCTCCGGGCTGCTGTGGGAAGTGTGGTCGTGGTGTTTTCTTCCTAGAATGAGCATTTCCTATGTCAAGTAGGCAGCTGAATGGTGTGCAGAACCGCAGCTCGAAGGAGATGTTACCAGAAGTATTTATTGGAATACCATCATTTACGAAAACAAAGATAATCATGTGAGACTTACTATGAACTGGCACCGAGTCGTCCTACTAATGACAGGCCGTCTTGTGTGCTGAAGGCGAATGTGGACCGATAAGATAAAAAGACACCTAAAAGGCCAAGGAAAACCTGCAAACATCGTGTCAATGTGATGATAGTCTCAGCCAACAATCGCTATTCCATCTCTTTAGGGATATCAGCTGGGGGGTGCGTTGTCCTCAGCATCTACTCCATATCCAATACGCAGCCTCTTCATGCTCTATGCCTGTTGCTTAGGATAGGCCGAAAGTATGACTCGTCTTCCAAGTCGCTCAAGTCACATATTCCCATTCATAACTAGACTGGCGGCTTCTTCTTCTGGAGGCCCCTTGCCGCTCTGTCTCTGAAGCGGTCGGCGCGTATTTCTACGTCGCTGAATCATTCTAGATACACCAACGACGGCATCTCTAAGAACATGAGAAGACACGCCATCAGAAGGGGCCAATATGCACTTTAAATCAGCAGGGTCTCTTCCAGGATATTTGGGACCGCGGATACGGACCCTCTTAACAATGACCATGAGGAAAAGAGTCCTACAACATCGAAATATCTGAGGCAAACATTTGCCCAGCGTCATCTCTTCTGTATCAAAAGTGTCTCCAGTCTTGGATCAGGAGTCGGAGCCTCTTAAGCTGCCAGGCACTTGGAGGGGTCAAGCTCCAGCATGTTGCTGAGCCTTTTGCCCACAACAGCAGATCACGCTTCCATCTTCACCAAGACACCTATAAAAGGCTGCGAATGGCATTTGCACTGTGCAACACTGCGTCGAGCCAATTGGAAGTCATCTCTTGGCAGACATGTGCACCCAGACCCTTGTCGCTCACCATCTCACAATTGTCTACACGAAAATGTGACATGGGGCTGCTGAAGCTTTGCCAAAGTACTACATAGGTAGATAAATAATTCATTGGCCCATTCCGAGATTTCATAGGAAAACTGGTCTTGCCCCCGTCGAAGGATGATACCCTAGACGCCTGAGATCAGATCTCAATGTCAAAGAAGCAAAATTGACCGCACCGAGTCAAAGGTGGTTGTCGCGAGCGTTCAAATTCATCGTTTTTACTTTGCGATATCTCTCAATGAGGGTATGAGCTATAAAAGTAAAGTATGTGTAAACGCAAGATTGGGTGACAAGAACTGGGGGTTCACGTGATTTGCTCGAGGCAAGAGCCAGCGCTTACATGATACAGTAGGTAATGAGAGTTGCCCCTCACAACAGTCAAGTCATGTGAATCAGTCCCTTGTTTTCAACATCATCTGGGCGCTAACCTGATACGCGTCTCCATCCTTGATGGAGTCATTTGAGACGCCAGCATCACGCAATCCCCTCACGTTTTCATTCCAAGAATGGACCGTGGCCTTATCGAGGCGTGGATTATCGAGACCCTCCCATCTATCCTGCCCGCTTCTCCCATAAACTCATCAAAGAAACGGAAGCGGCCGGATGAGATACCCAGGATGGTGTCTCCCCCATCGAGCAATGAACTGTCCTCTACGGCTAGCCCGAATCTTGCACCACGACCGCCTTCACCAACTAAAAAACGGCGTCTCGAAGCCTCAATCGCCCTCCGACAGCCCAACTTTTCACTCACCAAGCTGTCAGAACACTCCCTAACCGATGATGGTCCACCCACGGGCGCCGCGAGTTCCGTCACGGGCTCTACACAAACGGGACCCGTCCCCGGAAGTAAGAAGTCGAGTCGAACGCACAGCCCTGTTAAGGACATGACCGATCTTCGCCTTGCCGAAAAGCCCATAGAGACAATCATGCTAGAGTCGCTCAGCCAGTTGACTGGAGATGTCATTGACTTGTTTCACAACGCAAAGGATGCGTCGGAGTCTCGTGGTATAGCACCACACTCCGCCAGAGAGGCGATTCTTGCCGACCGCACTCCTCTGGAGCCAACCCTGACAAACGAGACCTTCTATGATATGGCGCTGTGGGCCAATGAGCATCATGCAGAAGAATGGGACGCCACGACCGAGCTGAAGACATTGAAGAAAATCTCCCAACGGTCACGAGAGGCTGCCCTGCTCAATCTCACCGAGCCAGCTTGGAACGCTCGTGTTCATGAACCCTTGCTTGATGTCGCGCTCGAGCCGTTTGGGAATAAGCTATCCCACTGGGACGTTACCCGGGCTTCTATCAACAAACCGTATCTTGGCAAGCATCAATCAGGGGGGGAGCTGCAGGCCAAGCTCGTCGACTTCTGTATCACACTCAGCGCCCCGACACTGCAACGAGATGTCTGGAGCCGGCTGGCGAGGGCTAGTGATAGCCACTCAATTAATCACTCATCAACTAACCCTCTTCGATCACAACCTATCGCCATCAGCATCGAGACCAAAGTTGTGGATGGCTCAGTTGAGGAAGCCAAGGCTCAGCTCTCGATTTGGGTATCATCACATCTCAAACGGTTGCGCACATTGTCAAGCACATCGCAGACGCGTATGGAACTCAATACTACTCTCCCGGTTATTCAGGTCAACGGAAGTGTGTGGACGCTGCTCTTCCTCATCGATGGAGAGGAGGTGGTACAGCTCGTGGAGACGGTTACGATTGGGGATACGAGAAGTGTGGTTGGTTGTTACCAGGTTGTGGCCTTTTTGCGGCATCTAGGGAAATGGGCTTTGACCATCTTTCAGCCGTGGCTATATGAAAACGTCTTGAGGATGTAGCAATGATTGATATATGTTTATTGATACCCAGAGAACCATATCACTGATGTCTGTCAACTTGTCCCCAAGATGACGTGGTATTCATGAGCAGCAAGTCAGTAACTTGGCATGTTCCTCTCTTTAATACCGCCTCAACCTCTCTCGGCACACCCATGCATTTCTCATCTTCATATTATCTGGTGAGGAGCTGCAGCGAAACCGGTACATCTATATATCGCTTAGCTACGGTGAAAAACAATGATTAAAGCGGTCGAACTTGTTCATGGGTACGTAACTCACAGGTATCATCATCAGTAGGTGCCGTTGGAATGGAGGAATTTGGGCGATACTCATATCCCAAACGTCCTCCCCGCTTCCATCTTCCAGCACTCACAGTCCCGCTTGGGCTGCCAATTGGCAACTTCGAAGTCGGCCGACTTGAGTGCGTTGTCTTGTGAAAGGGCTGATTTAACGGGTGGGTGGGGTTTGACAATTCCATTGGACCACGATACCGATTTTGATTGTCTTTGGGAGTTCAACATCTCGCCAAGGTATCAGGACTTGATAGTTCTCTCTAACCTAACATACCCTAGCATTCCCAACCCGGAAAGGTGTCTGTTTGAAACCGTAGACGCCCAGCCTTGTTGTTTCAGGGTGGCAGTGTCAAGCAGCTACTACAAATTAGGCATAGCCAGGTAGGAGAGGCGCTAAATCATCCGTCGTGCCGTCGCATTCGCACCGCGCCTCAACTCGGGGGAAAATTGCCCCGCTGCGCACTCGACATAATCCTTGAACAATCCTACCATGCCAACAGAGCAAGGCAGTCGAGAACGTTGCTCAGTTCTTTTATTAGTCTTCTGCCTACCTGGCCGGCACGTCAGTTTCACCCGTCGGAGGAGGATCAACCCGTCGGTTTCGCACCGCAAACGCAACAGCCTCCCATCGTAACTTAGTTACCAAGTGCTTCTGTCGCATAAATTTCCCATAAATATGCATGAGAGTCCCAGCCTTTGGACAATCTCCATCAATTCCCCTTACACCATTTCGATCTTCGGGCTCAGTTAACCCATCGAGGGCCAGGCTGCTTTACACCATTTCATCGTCACCATTTCATCGTCTATATAATAATGTCTCTCCCGCACAAGACTCTGCTTGTGACCGGCGCTACAGGCAAGCAAGGCGGCGCCGTCATCAGCAGTATCCTCGCCTCCACCCAAGCAGCCTCCTTCAACATCATTGGCGTGACCCGCAATAGCGCAAGTGACGGTGCACGCCGACTAGCCGCCCTCCCAGGCGTCTCGGTGGTCGAGGGTGAACTCTCTGACGTCTCTGCCATCTTTGCCCAGGTCGGCCCCGTGTGGGGTGTCTTCAGCGTGATGGTCAATTCCAACGACGAGGAGCGCTACGGCAAGGCCATGGTCGATGCCGCCGTCTCGCATGGCGTACAGCATTTTGTCTATGCCTCGGGCGATCGCGGTGGACCGGTCAAGTCCAACTTTGACCCGACCAATGTCAAGAACTTTGCGGCCAAGTACAACATCGAGAAGCACCTCATCGCTCAGGCGACACTCAGTCCGCAACAAATGACCTATACTATCCTGCGACCCGTCACCTTCTTCGAGAACCTGACTGCCGATATCCACGGCAGGGGCTTCGTCCGCATGTGGGAACAGCTCGGCACCAAGAAGCTTCAGTTTGTGGCCACCTCAGACATTGGATGGTTTGCAGCCCGCAGCTTCCTGGATCCCTCTGCACATGCGGGTGCCGCCATCACCATCGCTGGCGACGAGCTGACTCAGCCCGAGGCCGACGCTATCTTCAAGCAAGTAACAGGCCAGTCCATGCCTATTGGACCTTGCGTGATCGCGAATACGGTGAAGATGGTGCTGAAGGATACTGCTGGTGATATGTTTCGTTGGTTTGGAGAGAACGGCTACGGTGGTGATGTTGAGGCGAGCCGCAACATGTACCCGGGTATTAAGGACTTCCGGCATTGGATTGAGGAGAACAAGGGAAAGTGGACGAAGTAACTGAAGAGTTAGATATCTTTTTGCGAAGTAGCTATTATTATTCCAAATATGTTATAGTATGCTGTTGGGTATTTCTACCCTGGAGATCGGTTTGTGGAGATCCTCGGACAGCTTCGAGAATAATTACTACCAGATGGATGCTGACCAGATTATGCACAGCCTCTGGAAGTATCGTGAGGATCGATTGCTTCATTTTATGAGAGTGAACTCAACTGAAGCTGCTCTGACTGGCCCATATTGGAGTGTATTCCCAGAACATACGAATGCCAGACTCGCAGACGCATAGAGACTTCAACTCAACCTGTTGGTCTTCGAGAAGGTCCTTGGGCATACTGGCTGGAGGGACGATGAGCCAGCTGACGGAGAAAGGGAGTTTGAGGGAACATTGAATCTTAGAGGCTTTAGATGATGTGTCGATCGGACCACTGGGACTGTGAATGATATGTAAATTCTCGTAGTTAAATATTTACATACTAATGCCAAGGTGCTAGCAGGTGCCTTACAGTACTCTGCTGAGATAGGATATTTCGCAAAGTTTTGAAATAATACCCGAACTCTGTACCGTTCTATATTCCTCTGCGACAACTTTCATATTTGTCTAGAGGACAAGCTCCTGAAGAGACCCAGATGCAACCCCTTTGTATTGATTCCCACCCACCAGTCCGCCAGAGACATTTCCTGCGAACTGCCCAACAGTCAGAGTCTCACTAGCAGGAAACCAAAACGTGGTCTGGGAAAAGTCAAGAGCGAAGTGCCAGTGTTCGTCTGTCTTTGGGGACACCAAGTCGATGAGGTAACCCGTGTGGCGCGACTTGGGTAACGGGGACTTGGTACCCGGGGCGGATGATAGATGGACAGGGCCATCCTTGGCTAATATGACGGTACCATAGGTCTCAGAGCATGAAGGCTCCTGATTGGCAGTGCGGAAGATGACTTTGGTACCCTTCGTCAGAGTAGCGCTAAAGTAGGGGCGGCCGTCTACAGCCGATGTGTAGTTCCAAAGCATAAGGCCGTACGGTCCAGCAATAGCCCGAGCCATGTCCCACTTCCCACTGATGGCGGCCCAGGGTCGGGAGTTCCAGTTCTTGTCCCGTCCTCCAACGCCGTACAAGTCGAAGGGTGTGCCACGGATGCTGAGATGCACCTCGGCGTCGGCGACCGGGAACTGCTCCTGCCAGTACATCTCCGGGGCAAGCAGCACGCTGGCCCTGGAATCAGGGTATACTAGTCCACCGGGGTAGATCGGAGGTCCTCGCGACTTGAGCTTGAATGTGCCTTTGATGGTGGGAGACTCTATGGTAGCAATAGACTGTTTGAAATCTTTGGACGCGGAGAAGCCCCAGGTTATGTTTCCAGCGTCGTTAGTCCAAGTTCCAGTGGTGGTCTTTTGGCAAGTCGTCAAGGTTGATATATCGACAAAAGCGTTTTCCATATATCGGGTTCCGTTGGCCCACGCGATGGAAATCAAGCCACGCTGGGCAGCGATGTTGCTGGCAACTGTGCCCCGGGTGAGATAGAGGACGATACTGGCTTTTCCGTCATGAGAGGCAGCGTCGAAAGACCAGTTTTCGCTCACGGTTTCATTGAACACAGTGACCATAGGGGAATCAAAGTGAACGAGAGGATCTGCGCTCATCTTGGCAGGTCCATCCATGAAGTCACCTGCTCGAGCCCGGTGATGGACGCAGTTGATGCCTTGGGAGGCTGTTGAAACGGATAGTCCAGCCAGGGCGGCCAGAAGGGTGGTAATATGAGAAAGATGCATGCTTGAAGGTTCTGTGATTCTGATTTGCGTGCTGGATGATGTTTGCGTTGTAAATGATTGCTGAAGTGCAGAGAGTGGTTATCATCTTGCCTCTTTATACTCCTATAGCCGTGGACTCGAAGGCTCTGGAAGCAAGGTCCAGATGGAGTGAGTGAGGCTTAGAAGGACATGACGCAGGCCATTCCAGCATCATGATTTGTTGTGTCGCAAGGACCCTTCGAATTGAGCCTTATTGGTTCAGTGCTGATGGTTCTGTAATTCGTGCCCATGCCGTAATCGCGAGCATCCTCTAAAACGGGCTTAGCAATTTACAAACAGGGATCCTGTCAGAGAGTGGCTGAGTACAGGGAACTAACCCAAGTTTGGGGTCCCCTTGCGACAGTCTTTACATTGGACGGACAGGTTTAAATGGATCTCCGAACCCATGCAGCATGTTCCTCTCCCCGCATCAATCAACAACCTTTGAACGCATCTTCGTCTCTCATCTTTCAAGCTTCGCTGCCCATGAAATGGTCTATAACGGTCCGAGTAAGGGGTGTCGGATGTGCCGAGACAGGAAGGTCAAGGTGAGCCGCAACATTGTCTTGATCCGGTCCGAGCTGAGCCGAGGATCTCTAGTGTGATCAGAGAACACCAGCCTGTGGAAATTGCTTTACTAGAGGAAGCTCGTGCCCAGGCTATGGTGATATTTTCGACAAGGCGCATCGGGACGAAAGCGTCAAGACTAGAATGCGACATTCGCACAGGAGCAACACGACCGACACGGCCGCACCGGAGCTCAGGCTAAAGCAGCTATCACCACGACTTCCTCCAAGTCCGCCATCAAACGATGAACTCGACGCCTTGGGGTTCTTCTTCTTCCACTACGGCCGCTGCTACGACGGTCAAGCTACCTGTAGTATCTTCGGCCTCCTGCCAGGCATGTATGCAAAGTGCAGCTCGAACTCCGCTTTGGCCAAGGCCACCACGGCGCTTGCTCTGGAGGTGACTCACTTGCACCGGTCGACCGGAAGGTATTCAGTCGCGGGCTATAGCACATACACTGAGGCGGTGATCCGAACCAAAGAAGCCCTCGCCGCATCGACGCAGAGCAAGTCGAACGAGCTTCTTATGACAACTCTTGTTCTAGAGGCGTACGAAGATGCCCGTGCCACATTTGGGAAGACGAATCATGGCGTATCGCGGTCTCATGCACATATCCTTGGCTCCATCGCTCTGTTGAAACACCGCGGGTCCCTGAACTACAAGGACGAATTATCATGGCGCCTGGTCGTTGCCACTCGGAACAGGCTACTTCAACACAACTGGCACGGCTTGGATGGACTAGAAGGCTTTGGAACTCTCCGAGATGTCTGGGATTGTGACACTGGAGCCCAGATGTACAGCCCGGCGGTGAAGGCCGATACACTGGCATTTAGGTTGTTTCAGCTCAAACTCCTAGCGAGGACAGCCTTGAGCTTACACGAGATTCTCAGCCGCGCCATTAACCTCGCCGGCGAATGTAGTCTCTGGCAGAATTCCCTCCCATCAGCTTGGAGGGTACTATCTGTTCCGGCCTGTTCTCTCCCCCCATCAATACAGGCTGCTGGTGCCTACAGCCACGTGGATCCCGCCGTCTACGCAAGTCTTTCCATAGCAAACTCGTATAATCGACATCGAGTCACTGAGCTAGGCTGCCTTTCGCTCATCGGCGATTGTCTTGTGAGCCTATCATCCCCAGAGCAGGACTATAGACTGAGCGTGCTTCCACCCGCTCTCCTATTCAGAGCCCAGGTTCTCGTCGACGAAATATGCGCCAGTGTGCCGTTCCTTACCGGGGATGCGGCTGCGGGTGGTCTAAGAGCAATGACTATGCTTCTGCCATCTGTGGTGCAGCCATCTCATGACGGGAATAAAGTCCAGCACGCGCAGCAGGTGGTAGCATCCGGCCTATTTATGATGTATCACACCTTGAAGAAGATGCTTGAGCTCCTAGGGGATAAGGTTATAGGGAATGCTATTCGTGATGGACAGATTAAATGGATAATAAGACAGTCCCAGAGACTAGGACAGGTTCTTTATATAGCTTAAGAAGATCCTAGGGTATTTAAGCTACGACTACCTGTGGTCAGTAAACTTCAGTACGTCCCTGCCAGAGGCAACGGAAAGCGGCGGACGAATAGCTTGGCTCGCCCTGCTTGGCCAGGGCCTTCACGGCGCGCTCTAACGCCGCATACGGATGGGACTTATATGCTTGGTGGTGAGAACCTCGGAGTCTGACTCTGGCCGCTTCCAAGACTTCAGAATCATGGGGTTGTTTGATCGCCATCCTTGATTTCCGTATGTTGCTTTCACCGCACTCATGAGACAGCTAGTCAGTCAGCGCAGCACCATCTTCACCGAGAAAGATAACCGACAAGTCGACCCGAGTCAGAAAGTGGAGGAAAATGCAGAACCTGGAACCCTCTGCACGATCAAGAAACTTCTAGTCAGTGTTCTTCGTAGAACGCACTGTATTCCGCAGCCGAGACTAAATCGGCCTGACAATGATTACGAAGGTGGTGGCAAGCGACGGTCTAGACGTTCTTGAATCGGTCACCGTGTTTTGAGAGACCCTCAATGCCATCATGTATTGATAGATGTGTCATTTACTGTTGTGACTGATGGCCTGGTGAGTATATCAAATGCCTGTACTCCTTGCAGCATTTATCACACCGGGAGAAAACGACAAGACAGCAGAGCTCAATTTCCTCTTTATTCGTCCTATGAGTAGCACCTATCTCTCCTTGAGCTGTGCTCATGGCAGCCCCCTTAAACTCTCTCTCTCTCTTTCTCGGAGGCGAGGTAGATGCCTTGAATATAGGATTTACTTATTACTAGTAATAAATTTAATCCCCTCTAGTAAATTTCCCTGGAACTCCCTATAAGCTTTCAGACTCTCAACAGTCCAAAAGCAGTGAGGATATCCAGCAAAATTGTCTCTCTTCACCGGGACCCTAGTATTAGCAGAAATAAAATGTCAGCCACGCATGTCATGTCCAACGACGGGAACCGGGACAGAACCAAATATGGGGAAATATCACTCACCCGAATCTTTGAACCTCTTTCTGTAGCAGAACGCCATGGTCGCGAAGAGGATCGGCACCGCAAGTGAGAACATAGGTGGACGGGAACTTTGGCAACTCTCCTGACAGTAGCACTGAGAAACGAGGATCTGTAGGTGACGACCCTGTCCAGTCTAGAGAGGAAGGTTAAAATCCGCATTATTTACATGGTTGATATGACAGATCCGAAACTTACCAAGAAGGTCCTCAAACACTTTGGTCGTGAGAATCGGCGCATCCGAGTTTTCAACCATTGAGACGAGCTCCCCCTGGTAACGCTCGGGAAGTGCCGTTTAATTGATGGTGTAAGGAGCAAGTGCAATGATGCCAAGAACTGGTGTTTTGATCTTGGTAAGCTCTGCGCAGACCGACAGCGCGAGTTGAGCTCCGGCAGATGTGCCCATGAGAGCCAAGTTAGGCCTGGAGCCCTGTCTACTAGGATACCTCTCGAGAATCTAAAACTCTGTTTAGTACATCCGTCGTCTAAGTGCCGATAGAGAGGTTACGTACCCATTGGACGCCGATGACGCAGTCGTCGAGCTGCGCTGGCCAAGGATGCTCTGGTGCCAGGCGATATTCAACTCCAACACATATGATTCCCAAGTCACTCGCGATCCAACTCAGCAAACCTGCAACTATAGTCATTCACTGCTGCTGTTGATCAAAGGGCATGTGCTTACCGTCGTCGGCGTCTAAATCACCAAGACACCAGCCTCCTCCGTCTTAATAAACCATGGTGTTAACTTTCAGAAGAGCTTACACAGGGGGTTCATGAGATGCAAACATACGAAAGCTATACATGTGAGCTTTAGAAACCACTGTCATTGAAACGTTACATACTTGGCGATAACTGGGTTGCCTTCGTTGATATTGGCATTCTTAGGGGTGTACGTCCGAACCTTGACTGCCGTGCTCCCTGGGACAATCACATCCTCTTAAAAATAGACCGGCCGCAGTTAGAACTTGCGCACCGACCGAATTGGGTTATTACTAACCAATGCTGACCTTGTCGTTGGATGGAGGTTTTGGCGCGGCAGCAGCTTGGGCCATTAAATCCTGTCGGATTTCATGAATTGAGCCTTTCATGCCGGGTCGGAAGCCCAGGGCTCGTTCCAGTTGCAACCATTCCTCAGCAAGTTGCATTATCATGGCGAGTCGGGGCCAGAGATGCGTCTCATGGCAGAAAGAAGTTTAAAAATCTCGAGGAAAGAAGGAAGACCTTTACCTTTAAGGACAAGTTGCGCTTTAGCGTCTTGGTAATGTTGTGATGGTTGAATCTAGGGCTAAAACATGACGTTTCGGTATCCGTTTAGCATACAACTCAATCTATTTCTCCAAGCTGCGACCCATGTCATGGGTTTACGACTCGTTAAAGTCTGCCCCCCTTCTAATCTGCGGGATGGGATTTTGAGTTGACCCAAGGTGGGTGGCAACCAATGGCGGGGGAACACGTTCGAATTCAAACCCAGACTTTGCTGAGGACTCGGAAATTCACGACATGCTCCAAGAATTGGGCGTCCAACTCCCCCATTTTCATCGAGTTCCAAGTGTTTTTCGCCTCATTTTCTGGTCGATAAAGCTTTTGTGAAGTGACTATATTGCCTTCATCTTAGTCAACAGCGGCTCTTCTAGCTTTTGTGCCGTTCGTCCTACGAAGCCGGGCAATCGGACCGGATTCCTTCATCAAATTGCTAAGCCATGCGTCTTGAGGAGCAATTTGGCCGTATCCGTGAGAATTCATACCTCATGCTATAGCTGTAGGGCATTACCATCGACAGTCAAAGCTAAAGGTACCGTAGTGAATTAGACTCTACTTTGAACTGCATGCAGCCAATCTCACGTAACATGATGCCAATGGTTTCCTCGAGGGCTCCCGTGTATCCTGGCTTTCTTCCCCTGCTACTGTTCATCTTGTTTTCAGCTCTCTTGGAGGGGTTTCGGACCCGTCGACCAGGATATGGGCGCAACGTTGTCGATGAAAGGGTTCGTCTTGCCTGTTACGGCTGAGTCATCCCCAATAAAGTTGCCCGGGAAACCAATATCCAAAGGAGCAGTGGTCTCAAGCTTTTCTACTTGCTCACGAGTCAATGCAAGCTCGAGCGAGCGAATGTTATCCTTGAGATGCTCCACCTTGCGGCCTCCGCAGATTGGGAACACTCGGCCGGCCTTGTGCATCACGTATGCCAGAGCGACAGCCGTAATGGATACGTCGTCCCCATGCTGCTTGGCTACCTCCTTAAGCGCCTCACTCATCTCAATCTCTTGGGGTGTCTTTCCACGGGAGGTGGAGTATTCGTTGGCCGCAGCGACGACCCACGCCGGCGTGTCAGACACGCCAAGATACAGCACTTTGCCTTGCTGTACCAGGAAATGCAGAGAGTCCATTATTTCGGGGATCGAAGTTGACCAGTCCTATGGTTCCCGTTCGTCAGTAATAGGAAGGGTGCGATGTGTTTAAGAAGCTCAACTCACCCACATGTGGAGATACAGAATATCGATCCACTGAGTCTGAAGTTTCATCAAAGAGTCTCTGACTGACATATGGAGGCTTCGACGATGGTTTCCGGAGAAGTTGATAGCGGTGCCTGCCCCAATTTCGTGCTGTTTGTATGAGAGCGTCTATCTGACGATGAGTTGAGCCTTCACTTGCCATACTGTCAGATTTACTACTTACTTGGTGGCGATAACAACCTGGTCTCGATTCTGCCTTTGGTTCATCCATTCTCCCACGAAGATCTCGGACTGTTCGTCTTGGTAGTTGTTCTGCCAGAGCTATCTGTTAGGCAGGCCATCTTGACCACCCTCGCTAACAACAGGACAGACACGTTTCTTGGCAGCATAATTCTATTTTACAAGAATATAAATTGACAAAAAAAAAGTACTCACGGCCGTATCAATGAAATTCCCCCCAGCCTCGACGTAAGCATCAAGGAGTTTAAAGGACTCTTCTTTGCCAGCACTGCCCATGACCTGGCGCAGACTCATCTCAGCAAGTGCTTCTCATAGGCTTACTTAATAGTTTGGTGTCCGTATCGGACCGACAAAGGGCGAAGGTTCTGTCGAGAAGATGCACCACGAGGGGCTTACCTGTGACCACACCCCTCCGAGGGACATTGTCCCAAGCTGCAAGGGAGAAACACGAATCCCCGCAATAGAAGACAAGATTCTATAGCGGCCCAGCTCGGTGGGAGGCGCCATGGCTTGTGAGCCCGCCATCTCGTCTCGGGTTAAATGGAGTGAGTTAGATAGATTGAGCAAGTTGAGCATTGTGTTCAAAGATAATATATGCGCCAACTAGATAAGTTTAGCAATTCGCCGAGATATTATATTTAAGCTCTAACTAATACTTTCCTTCTTATATTCCTCTACTACTTAAACCTTTCTATCTTTATAATTAAAACCTTTTTCCTTCCCCTTAAGTTACTCCCGTGACTTAATAACTTAAAAACCATAATCCCCTCCCTAAGCCCTAGCAATATATCCTCTATAACCTATCCTCTAACTTCCCTACTTTATCTATAGTCTTTCTCTTACTATATGTCACGGCCTAGGATAACCCAGCCGGTAGTTAACGTATATAATATAAAAAAGGGAAATACTAGACTAATTAATAGAGAATTACTTAGCTTACCTAGTAATCCTAGCGATCCCTAGATTACTAGGATTATAAAATAATCCTTATAATCTAATAAGAACCCTAAGTATATAAGATATATTTATTATATTTTCTTATATATTAATTACCTTAGCTATTAATATAACTTAATAATACTTAATACCTTTAAGTATATTACTAGATATAATATATATTACCTTTTAGGGCTATATAATATAATCTAGTATTAATATAAATTAATATAATTAATTTATTCTTTAAAAATCTTATAATTATTATATATTAATAGCTCTTATTTATTAGATTATTTATATTACTTAGAATAATATTAAATATAATAATTACTTAGGCTACTCTTAGTAATAATTATTAATAAGCTTTATTTATTAATTATTTATTTATTTTTATTATATTAGCTTAAGCTAACCTTAATAATAATAAAAAAATAAATAATAATAATAAAAAAATTAAATAGCTTTAAGCTTAGGTTATTATTATAACTATTAAATTAAAAAAGCCCTAAGAATTCTTTAATTATATAATTATAACCTAATAAGACTAAAATTAATAATACTAGGATAATATCTAACTTATTAATAATATAATTATTATTATTATAAAAGGTAAAGATATTAAAGAAATCTTAAAATTAGATTTATTAAAGAAGTTTAATAAAACTATATATAAATTACTTACCTTTCTTATATAATTATATGCCTTTATAGCTTACTACTTAACCTAATCTAACTTAAAATTTAATTATATCTAATATATTATAAGAAGATTTATTAAATATATTATAATATAATTTAAACTTATTATAAAGAAATACTTTAATACTTTAATTATTTAATTCTTATTTTATACTCGCGAAATCTATATTAGCTATAAAAGGTTTAAAGTAACCCTTTAATAAGTATTTAAAATTATAAATATAAAAATATAAATAAAAAAAAAATTTAAAGTATATAATAAAAATTAATTTACTTTAGAATATAATATTAAATACTTTTAGCTTACCTTAAACCTTAAATAAAATTAATAATTTTTTATATTATTATTTTTTAATAATCTTAAGAAAGAGATATAAGTTAAATTCTATAAGAAAGACTAATTTAATAACCTTATTAATTATATTAGCTATATAATTAAAATTAATAATTAATAATTCTCTTAAAGGAGGCTTTAAAGCCCTTATAGTAATAAGAGACGCTATTAAAAACTATAATTTAATATTAACTAAGATTAATAGCGAATTAACACCTCTTATAAAATTTATATAAGACTTATAAAACTTAGAATAATTTAATAAAAAAAGCTAAATAAGAATAATTATTATAAATTTAAATATTAATATTATTATAAGATAAATTATATTAAGAAGGTTTATTATAAGAAATAATAAAATATTAAAAAAAGATATTATTAGCTAAATTAATAATAAATACTTCCTAAGAGTAAGAAATAAATAAGATTTATATAAATTAATAATAAATTATAAATAGCTCTTTAAATAATAAAAATTCTTAATATAATATAAATAAGATATAATAGTATTAATTTAAAAGTAAGAGAAGTTATTATATCCTATAATTAAATATATCTTATTAAGGAATAATTTAAATATAATATTTATCTCTAGTTAAAATTATAATATATTATAATAAAGCTACTTAAGGTAAAATAACTTTATATTAATGATAAATTAAAATAATAATTACTATTAGAATTAATTAATAAACTTAATAAAAACTATAATATTAAAATTATTATAATAATATAATAGCTTAAGTAATATAATAAGAATCTTAATTATAATATTAAAGCTAAGGCTTAATAATAACTAATAATAGCTTAGACTTATAATTAATAAAACCCTAAGAAAAATAATAACTTATAAAAAGAAAAATATTATTTATAATTTTATAATAAATATAATAATTAATATTAAAACTTATTATAAAAATAATATATTTAAACTATAAGGGAATATATAAATACTATTAGTATATAAGAAATATAATATATTTAATAAGTAAGTAATATAATTAAGCGAGTAATATACTTTTTTTAATCTCTTTTATAGAAATTATAATAAAAATATTAAAAACTATTTAATTAATTAAAATTATTTATTATATTTTTCCCTAGATATCTTAATTATTACTTAATAAATCCTTATATTATACCTAGGCTTATTATAAATACTATAGCACTAAATACCTAGTCTAATTAACCTTCCTTAATTACTATTTCTCGATAATTTAGCTATTATCTATATATTTATATCTATTTAATTAATTATTTATTTTCTTTCTTTTATTATTATAACCCCTCTTTTTTATAATTTAATCCTTTTTACCCTTT